ATCCTCTCTTCGCTTTCACCAAGACTTTTCATGCCATCTTAACCATCCCACCCTCTCTACGTCACAAAGAAGATGGGTTCCCTGTGCCAACATGAGATATCTTACCTTCAAAAGTGATGGAGGGGAGATTGAACAATATCCTGTTTCAGGAACACCTTAAGACACAAACATTGAGACTATTGTACATATCAATGTTTCTCAACTTTGGCAACTTTAAAATGGATGGACTTCAACTCCCAGAATTCCCCAGCCTGGCTGGCTGAGGAATTCTGGGAGTTGAAGTTCACCCATCTTAAAGTTGCCAAGGCTGAGAAACACACTATTATATGTTCTTCTGAACTGCCCTACTCCCTAACACAAAACAGTATAGGTATGATTGTAAACACGAAGGGGCTTCAGTCACATGATTCTGGCCACTATTATTTTGACTAACCCTTTGCAAATACCCCTACTCCAACACAACCTGTTCAAAATCACCCATTTCCCTTTTGAATCCAGACTGATGCATAAATTGTACAATGGAAATTTTAATTGTCATGAAATAGCTTTCAACATGTACAAAACATTTAACCAAACTTTAAATGATTGCACAAATGAGTTTCTTAGATTAATCTGTTAGCATGATTGGTTTTCAATCAGAATTCCAAATGCTGTCAGGTGGATTATGGTTGCTCTTAGTTACTAAAACTGTTTGGCAGACACCAAACATTTGGTATCCATAGTTTTAATGAGTAAACAATGAAGACTCTTTCAAACCACATTCAGCCCTTGATGAAAACATGGCGAGATGTGTATGTATGAGGGTGAAAGTATATATGTATGTATGTACATATAAATTTAGAGAGAGAGAGAGAGAGCGCATCTGGAGCTCAGTGAAATATTTTCTTGCAATTTGCTCAGTTGTTTTAATATTTACAATGATACACCATTTTAGCACAGATGTAAGCAAAAAGAATCCTTCCACACTCTTTCTTTTTTGTAAAGACTTTTAGCAATTCCATTTTTTTTAAGATGCCAGCAGCTGAAGAGTATTTCAATACAATGTCTTCAGTTAAATTAGCATTCTTGTCTATTTGGTGTTTTCTACTTCACGCTGAAATAAATGCAGGTTATCAGACCAGAGTTCAAAGTGATGTATGTAAGTTTGCTATTAGCTACAAGAGAATTTCACCACAGCTCTGCGTCTGGGTACCCCAGAAATATTAAGTCTAATTTCAGGTTCTTATATTGAATTCAGCAGTTCCTTATCAACAAATCCTTTTAGTCAAGCAAGGTAAGCAACAATATGCATTTAATTCACCTCAATTATGAATGCATCTAACTTGATTTCTAGTATCGTCTGAGCCCAATAAAAAGATTGCAGAAGCCCAGAATTGCTTTGTAGAGCTGTGGTGGCACAGTAGTTAGAGTGCAGTACTGCAGGCTATTTCTGCTGACTGCCGGCTGTCAGCAGTTCAGCAGTTTGATTCTCATCGGCTCAAGGTGGACTCAGCCTTCCATTCTTCTAAGGTCAGTAAAATGAGGACCCAGATTGTCAGGGGCAATATGCTGACTCTGTAAACCGCTTAGAGAGGGCTGTAAAGCACTGTGAAGCGGTATATAAGTCTAAGTGCTATTGCTAGTGCTATAACAATTTAAGAAATAAATAAATAAATTGCATCATCTCAGAGCAGTGTTTCTCAACCTTGACAATTTTAAGGCATGTGGACTTCAACTCCCAGAATTCCATAGCCAGCATTGCTGGCTGTGGAATTCTGGGAGTTGAAGTCCACATGCCTTAAAATTGTCAAGGTTGAGAAACACTGTCTCAGAGACTATATAGTCAGATCACTTTGGGAAAGCCCTAATGAGGAGCTACCAAACAATTCTTTGACCACTAGCGAATCTTATAATGTTGAAAGGAGAAGGGGTGTAGGAAACTCATTTGAGCTGTAGGAGTACAATTACAGTACACATAGACATTTCCAGTGCTAAACTGATTGTATGTTACACTAATGGTATTTCAGAGCAATGGCCAAATACATTTTCTGTCCTGCACAGCCTCAGATATTGGAAATGTATGAAGATTTGGGGTGTTTGTCAAGCAACACAAGATTATCAGAATGCTGGTGAAATGTGTCTCTGTCTTCAAGAAATATTATGTTTAGTAAGTTCTGCTGATCAAAATACCATAATGTAGTTAGTATGGGTAACAATCCATTTCTGCAAAATGAATACACAAATTTTGGCCTGGCAGATACACCAAATACCTTTTTTTTAATCGCAATATTGTCTTGTTTTCAGAAACTATCCACTCTTTATCCAAAACATAAGCCATTGAATTAAAGATGCCACACCATTCAATATATTCATCCATTTAGTAATCTGATTTATCATTGATTCATTATTGAATTAAATAAAAGTTCATATTAGGGATGCTCCATATGGATGCTTTTTTTGAATGATGAAGATAATCAGTACCCCTTGCCATTACAAGTAGATACAAACTTTTTTCCTTTTTTCATTCTGTTATATTGATAAATGAGGAATCACATTTTTAACAATAAAATGTGCCCTTAATATTGGACTTCAGTTATAATTTAGCCTTGCAGTAGAAAGCAGAGATAACTTTGAAAACATTGCCATCTATGGGCCATTTTTAAATTAATGAAAGGAAAAATATATGCTATATTAGATTGTATACATTCAAATTAAATGCAGCTTAAAATAAACCTGTAACCTGTTCTGACACTCTAATCAGGAAAATAATGAACACGTTCTAGATGACAGCCACGTAGGTTATATATTGTGCTATATAAATCCAATGGATTTATATAATTGAGGGCACAGATGTGAGAATGGGATGGTTGAACCTGGATTGCTCAACCATATTTACAGCAGAGATTGTTGAGAATCAAACATCTAAGAAATGCCTCTTTCCAGTCAAATTAGTTGGGAAATATAATTATCGTCATATGTTTCTCTGGGAGTAACACAGAGGCTAGTTTAATTCTTGAAGATTTAAATAATATCCTTGCAAACCTTATTTTTAAAGCTTTAGCAGTCCTTGCCTTATTATCTCTTACAATATGAATAAATGGCCATTTTTCTTCAGTGTTGCCTGCAATGATATCAAGTCATATTTCCAAACTCTAATTATACATTGTGAGCAAACAGCAGTTTCACAAAATGTTCCTTTGTTCTAGTAGTAAGCACAATTTAAGTCTATCCAGCAGCCATATGCCATTAATTTATTACATACTTGTAAAATCCATTTTTCCCCTCTTTTTCTTTGTACTGTTATTAATCACCTTCTGGGTTTTTATATAAACACTAACATTTTCATAAAATGTGATGAAAAAGCATGCAGCATTCAAAACATGCACTTTATATAAACTGTGAAATGAATTAGATGAGAACAGCAAAATGAATTCTATAGCAGTATCATATTATAAAGATATATTTGTAACTATTCTTCTAGAACAGCCTTCCCAAACTGCTGTCTTTCACAGATATTAAACAATAGCTTTGTTTAATTTGCATTGTTTGCATTGCATTGTTTGAGTTGGTGATCTTATAATTCTAGCTAATAAATAAATATTTCTAAAAGTGGACAGAAACATTGATCTGGTGCCCTTGGTAATATTGTAGCATTATTCTTCTCATAATCTTTTTATAAGAGGCAAGTTGTGCTTTCCTATACAATAGTACATCTATTTTTTACTACCTATTCTAGAACTGCAGTAGCTTCCTAGAATATGAATTCAGTTTAGGCAACAGTAGAGTATAATTCATTTATTGCAAAACTGAATTAGTTCCCTCATCCTTTTTCCATTTCTCTTCTCATCAATCTTTTAAGCCATGGAACCAACTGCCCATCACGATGCGCAAGGTGAAATTTTCAGACTAGATATATCCATATTTCTGTGCATCTCATCTTTAACTTGCTCTCTCTCCAGCTTTCTCTGGGTGGGTGGTACGCATGTGTGTGTATATGTGCGCATATACACCTTCAAGTCAGTTTTGTCTCCTGGTGAATACCTGGACAAATCCTTGCAGTTTTCTTGGTAATATTTCAGAAATAGGTTTGCTCTTGACTGCTTCCTAGAGGCGAAAGACACTAGACCAGTGGTTCTCAACCTTTCTAATGCCGCGACCCCATAATACAGTTCCCCATGTTGTGGTGACCCCCAACCACTTATACATCACCGGGTGCCAGGGGCATGGCCAAAGAAAAGGGGGAAAAAATGGCGGACAGCCTTGTTTGGCGACCCCCGTGAAATGGTCGTTCGACCCCAAATGGGGTCCCGACCCACAGGTTGAGAACCACTGCACTAGACAAACTGGCTCTCACTTAGACCTTAAGATCTCTATGTGGGACCGGAAATCCAGTTTGAAAAACACTGGATTCACTGCATTTACTGATATAACTTATTCCATAGAATTAAAACAATCCTCAGAAAAAGCAGCGTAACTAATGGAGAATGAATACAAAGCAAACACTTTATCACTAACTTATTTTAAAAAATCATATTTAAAGCAGATATAATGCTGAAGGATTAATTTAGGATACTTTTTTAGCAATCAAGGACATCCTTTAAAATAAAAAGTCCATGGAGTGTGGCCACTAAATGGAAATGTATTTAAGTAAAATTAGTTAAAATTTACTGAATGTTTAAAATACTTCTTTTGTTTCTTATTAACAAAAGAGTTACCCATCAGAATGATGTAGAAATGATCTGGCTAATCATATCAAAATAAGGTTTATCCATTTATTTTGCATAGCCTTATCTTAAAATCTCATCACAAATAAGGTATTTGGATACAATTCAGCAGCACACAAAGATCAATTGAAAAACTGTTGTGTACAGTATCTGTTTTCAAATCAGCCTTACATCATGACCTTTCATTCATTTCTCTTTCTCTTTTGATCTCTGCCTTTTGCACATTGTTTCAAAGAAGACCCACTTGAAAAAAGAAATCTAGATGGGTGATCTTACTAATGTTCTTTCATTTCTTACCTGTTGTCGCTTAAATGCCAAATGGTCTAGCTTCTTCAGGTCTTTCTGAAGATGTTGATAGGTTTTCTGCAGTTCTGATTTACTAGATACATTTCGAAGAGACATTAACATTCTCTGTACCTGCAGCCATATAAAAAGTAGGAAAAAAGAACATCTGAATTGGTTTAGGAACAAATCCCCAAAAATCAATCCTTTGCACTGCATTTGAATTAGCATCAAGTCTTGTTACCTCCGAGTTATATTATCAGAAGGAAAATACACTTCCTAAAATTTTCCTCTTTTGTCACCAAAGTCATCTGCCCCACCGCTAAATTACTAGATTGCATTACAAGACTCAACGCCTGTCTTTCTCCAAATCTGCATATCAAGGGCCACGTGTGCATGTCACAAGCAGCCAAAATTCTGCCCTAACATAAAGGACCATATAGACCCTATCACTCCACTTTGGTTCCTTCCATCACCAAAAGCAGCAGAACAAACACTGGAAGCTCCTTCCACATTTGTGTTGCATGAGGTGAAACTGCTAATGCCAGATTCCCCGTCCTCCCACCGTGTCAGAGTTGGAAGCCTGGAGCTGGCAGTCAAGAGGAAAACCATGGAGAATATGTGGATGCGATCAGGGAGGATAAGAACGATTGTTTTCCCTTCAGTTATAGGTGGCTGCAATACTTTTCTGGAAATCAAAATCATGGAGAAGTGAAATTTGGGGGGGGGGGAGATTTCTAAGTTGTCATTATTTCAAAAAAAGGAAAAGCAACCACTGCAAGGGAGAGACTGGAACCATATCAAAGTTTATCCTGTGCTTTACAGGACCATTAGCTGGGTTCTGAGATGTCCACAGGGATTTTAAAAAAATCAATATGATGGCAGTGACCATGCAAATGAAGTCCTATCCCTTTTTTTATATAAACTCTGTGTTTCATGTATGTGGTTGGAGCCATCATCTCGACTTTTTTGACCTGCCTGGGAGTGTTTCCCAGGCGGGCTCATACTCAGTTTAAAAGATTGACACTGATTTCCCATTCAAGTACCAGCAGATCAGGGGTACTTCAAACTTGGCCCTTTTATGACTTGTGGATTTCAGCTCCCAGAATTCCTCAGCCAGCTTGTCTGGCTGAGGAATTCTGGGAGTTGAAGTCCACAAGTCATAAAAGGGCCAAGTTTGATGACCCCTGACTTAGATCATCATCTCATGCTTACCTATGAGAGCAAAACTCTACATGTCTTGAATTTTATTGATAGCGAAGTAAATAATGCCACACAAACCTTCAACTACATGGCAGCTACCACCATGGACATTGCCCAAACCAATATTAACAATGAATACCTATTTTAAGGGAGGGCTCATTTTATTGAAATATTTTCACTTGGATCTCTCCGCTCTGAATAACTCCATGATCCTTTTTATTAAAGACCAACATTATGCCAGAACTGATTATCAATAACAATGAAAGGTTGTTTTTCAGATTAATCTTAGTTCGGTGCTTTTCTTTGCTATAGCTTTCATCTACTTTTCATCTACTTTCATCCACCTGTTAGATTGGCAGCATTCAAAGCACAAATTCCAGAATTTCTCCACATGATATAATACCTGCTGGCATAACATAAACTGTTATCTCTCAGATGTTTCAAATCAGCAGGTGTTTAAAGGCAGAAAAGGGTTTTTTTAATAATAACTTTATTAAATTTTAAAATAGAAAAATTAAAAACTAACAAGAACTACTATTCCAAAAAGAGAATAGGAAAGAAAAAATAGAGAGAAATAGCAGATAGAAATGCAGCAAAAAAAAAAAAAAATAGAAAGAAGCAGCAGTACAAAAAGAAAAGGGAATAATTCCAACTTCTTTTATAGCAGATATAAATAAATTTTACTTCCAACTCTTGCTCTATGGTTACAACATAACATCCATTTTCAAAACATAATTTATTAATATTGCCTAAATATATGTCCAAACTCATATATCATAATTTCCTTTTTTTTTCTGTTTTGCAAAAAAGTCCAAAATGGGCTTCCAATTAGCATTAGAGTTAGTCAATATCTTTTCTTTAATCAAAACCAACAGTTTTTCCATCTTGGTCATCTCCATCAGCTTCATCAACCATTCTTCCTTTATAGATGATACTAAGTCTTTCTACCATTGGACATATAGAAGTTCTCATGCCATTATCTTATGTAGGAACAGAATGCAATGCGATTTTCCATAGTTTTATCCATCAGCCATAGTACAAATGTCTTTGGTCTTGATTGTATATTGACATTCAAAATTTTCTGAATGAATACAGTATAAGCATTTGAGTTCTGAATGGCCTTTTTAGCTATTCAAGGCAAGAGAGTTTTATCATAATATGTACACCAGGGTCAATCCTTAGAGCAGTGGTTCTCAACCTGTGGGTCGGGACCCCATTTGGGGTCGAACGACCATTTCACGGGGGTCGCCAAACAACGCAGTCCGCCATTTTTTCCCCCCTTTTCCTTAGCTGTGCTACTCCCTTTTATTCTATTGGCTTTGGAAAGCCAATAGAATAGACTCTCTTGAATAGAGTCGAATTCTATTGGCTTTCAAAAACCAATAGGAATTGTCCAGGCTGTCTCTGCCCTGCTGAGCCCACCAAAAGTCCCATTCTGCAAATGGTGCTGCACTAGTTGAGTAGTCCTCAACTTATGACCGGTTGAGTAGTCCTCAACTTATGACCGGTTGGGGGGGGGTCGCGGCATTAAAAAGGTTGAGAATCACTGCCTTAGAGAGAAGGCACTGGAATTTGTGTGTGGTCCAATATTTCAGATTAAGGGAGGAGTAAAGTGTTCATGTTGTATTTGGGTCCAGCCTATTATGAGAACACAAATATTATGTAGTTCAGGGGTCTCTAAACTTGGCAACTTTCAAACTTCTGGACTTCAATTTCCAGAATTCCCTAGTCAGCAATGCTGGCTGGGAAATTCTGGGAGTTGAAGTCCACAAACCTTAAAGTTGCCAAATATAGAGATGTCTGATGTAGTTCAAGACCTAAGCCAGGGTTCCAAAGACTATAAGAGCCGAGGTGGTGCAGCAGTTAGAGTGCAGTACTGCAGGCCACTTTAGCTGACTGTTCAGCAGGTCAGCGGTTCAAATCTCACCGGCTCAAGGTTGACTCAGCCTTCCATCCTTCCGAGGTAGGTAAAATGAGGACCCAGATTGTTGGGGGCAATGTAAATATATATATACATTGCTTACTGTTGTACACCGCTTAGAGAGTGCTTGCACTTAAAGCGGTATATAAGTCTCATAAATAAATAAAATAAATAAATAAATAATTTCAAAATGCACATGAATGAATTTGGGCCATTTAGTATCTCTTATCTCAGGGGTCTTCAAACTTATTTTGCCGAAAACTAGGGAGGGTCCCTTCTGAGACACTTTTTTTTCTGAGACACTTTCTGAGACTGAGAAAGCTTGGCTGGCTGAAGAGTTCTGGGAGTTGAAGTCCACAAGTCTTAAAGTTGCCAAGTTTTGAGACCCCTGATTGAGGCTTTGCTTACATCCAGAAATCATGGGTGCTCCATCACTGGACAATCACCTGTCTGAGATGGTATAGGTTCTCCTGCTTGAGCAGGGGGTTCTCCTGCTTGAGCAGGTCCCTTCCAGCTCTACCGTATTCTACAATTCTATTCTATTACTCCTGTCTCCCAAGAGTATTCCCACAGCCCCTTATAGTAGGTAGTAAACAAATCTCAGAAAATTACCAGTATTACCACCCTTGGCAAAATTATCCTCTTCTACCAAATACTTTTTTTAATAGCACAGAAGAGCTGAGGGATCACCTGGTCTCCTACTTTCCATCTCTAGTCTGCTGCCATTGTGTACCTAAGAGGGTTGGGAAGGAACTAACTAAAGACATCTCAGTCTTCATTTGGTGAATTTATCTTCAAAAGAAACATTAATTATAAGCTTAAGAACCTAAAAGAATTTGAAATAAACATCAAAAAGCTAAATAAAAATTTGATCTAGTAAAGTTATAAATGGATTAAGAGTTCAGATAAATTGCTAACATTACCTTTTGCCATAAGCTATTGGAATTAATTATAAAAATAGCTTCTTGTGGGAAACATACTTATGTTGGCTATCTCGATTATTGCTAGAAGACATATATGTAGGACAGGGGTGTCAAACTGCCGGCCCACAGGCCGGACACGTCACACAGAAGCCGCACCCATCCCATTGCCAGCAATGGCAAAACAGTCTCGATACATTGCACGAGACGTTGCAAGTTTGACATGTCTGATGTAGGAGATGATCAGGCTGAGCCCAAGTGAGGGGGTCAAACACATCATCAACCTTGAGTCCAGGGGTCTTCAAACTTAGCAACTTTAAGACTTGTGGACTTCAGCTCCCAGACTTCCTCAGTTGGTGTGCCTGGCTGGCTCAGGAATTCTGGGAGTTGAAGTCCACAAGTCTTAGTTGCCAAGTTTGAAGACCCCTGCTCAAGTCCCTTCACACTCACAAGAGATCTAAGTCTAGCCAACCTTGAATTCCATTGACTCTTATCTACAGCCAATTTGCTTTCCTTTGCTTTGACCATTGGTAGTTCAGATTTTTGTAGAGATCTTAAGCTTGCAATAAACCTTGATTGAACTGCCTGAGTTTCCTGATTTCCCTGCTTGACACACAATGCTTGATCAAAACTTTATTTTTAATACAAATGTGGAGTTGGAAAGACTTGAGAGGGTTGACTATGGAAAAACTGAGAGCTCGTTATTTATATGCTCTGTCAAGAACAACAGAAAAATAAATGACCTATAAAAAAAGAATATTCTGAATTCTGATGGACTAAAGTTGATGGAGAAGAAAATTACTGTGAATGGTAATAAATGGTGATGTTTCAGCAGAAAATGGAGCTTGCAATGAGAAGAAAAGTATTGGTTATACAACTATTAAAGCAAAAATTAAATTCCCAGCATCAAGCTAGTCTGGGCAGCCTGGAATAAATTGTATGCATAAATTGCATGCACCACTGTATTCTAACATCCCTTCTGTCTGAGGCTGTCATTGGTCATTATCTGATGCCTTTTCTGTCTGATCAAACAATTATTGCATAACAGCCAGAATGCAGAGTTTCTCAATCTTAATGTCAATACAAAAATA